AAATGTCCTCCATCTTCTCTTCTAGATCTATTTGTCGTTCTCTCTGTGCTCTGCTCAGCTCTTTCCTTCTCTCACCTTTTACCCCTGTTCTTGCCACAGTCTAGCTTTCCCTGACTCTTTAGCCCAAGGCAGTGTGGATCAACATAGAAGCATCAAACTCTGCTGTGAAGAAAGGGGGATCTCAGATAGCTCTTCCACCCATTGTCCTATCTAGCCCATATATACTCTGGGACATCTTATACCAATTCCCACTCCCATTTATAACTTCAGCCCCCAGAGCTTGGCTATATTCCCCCCTCAGGATTTTAGGACTATACCTAAAGGACCAGAGGTGATTCTCTAAAGCAGTCTGCTTGAACCCCCACCAATGTGCTTCCCCCTCAAGATTATCAAGTGGGAATTATTTAGTCAGTGAGCTTTAGATGGTTTTTTAGGGAGAGCGGAACAAGGTAGAAGGGAACAAGTGCTTATTAAATACCTACTATGTGTCAAGTTCTATGCTAAGTGCTTTACAAATATTATCTCATTTGATCCTCACAACAACCCTAGGAAGTAAATGCTAGTATTATCATTATCATACAGTCGAGAAAAGCGAGGCAGGTTTACTCAGGGTCACACAGCTAGAAAGTATCTGAAGCTGGATTTGAATTCAGGTTATTCTGACTCTAGAGTCCAGTGCGCTATCCCCTGGGCAACCTAGCTGCCTTTTAGAAAGGGACATTTACTTTTGTTGTTCAGTCATATTCCATGCCTTACGACCCCATCTGGGGTTTTTTTGGCAGAGATACTGGAGTGGTTTGCCATTTCCTTCTGTAGCTCATTTTATAGATGAGGAACTGAGGCTAGTAAATGTTTGAGGCTGGATTTGAACTCATGAAGTTGAGTCTTTGGTCCCAGAGCTCTATCCACTGCACCACTTTACTGAGATGGTACAATAATACCAGTTGGATCAAAACAGCTCCTCCCCCCAAAATCTAGAGTAGGAAAGAGACAGAAGAGCCATTGGACATGTGGGTAAGTCTAACAAAATCAGAAGTCAGCTGGAAGTGACCTTAAAAGTCACTTGTATGAACTAATCCAACAAGCATTTATTAGGCTCCTGCTATATACAAAGGGTTTCCATAGGTGCTGAGGACACAAAGAGAAAATGAAAACCATTTCCTGCCATAAAAAGCTTATAATCTACTGGGTAGATGGCCATATTCTCACCAGCTGCCTGGTCTACCATTCACCTCAGGAATGCCCAGGGGGCCATTATTTCAGGTTACCAATCCATTAATTTTCCAAACTAAAATCCTCCTCCCTAGTTACCCTTACCTTTTATATGTTACTATTAACATGTAAGTTCCTTGAGGGTAGGGACTGTCTTTGCTTTTGCTTTTTTTTTTTGTTTGTTTGTTTGTTACCCAGGGCTTGCACATATTTTATTACATTTGTGATTACATTTAATAAATGCTTTTTCATTTCCTAACTGAAGAAACAGATAGGCTCAGTTAATAAATGGCAAGACTAAGATTTAAACCTAGGTCCTCAGATTCCAAATATATGATTCTTTCCACTACCCCAGGTTGTCATCCTTTGCCTCCTGTGGCTGTCAATAACCAGGACACCTTCACTCAACAGTAGAAGCTAAGAGACCTTGGACAAATTACTTCCCATTCTTGTCCTCCTTCCTCCCCTTCTTTTCCTCCTCTTCCCTCCTTTCCTCTCATCTTCCTGCCTCCCTTCTTCAATTCAACTCATTAAATATCTATTAAGTGCCTACTAAGCGCTAGGCAGACCTTGAAGCTACCTCTGCCTTTGTTACCAAATTCCAGGCTCCACATTCTTCTGCCCTAATACCCTGCCTCCCTCCATTCAACCTTGGTAACTCTAAACTGACTCTTCCTCTCTGGAAGTAGAAATTCACTATCCAACCCTGCCTAGGGTCGCCACCTGCTGCCCTATGCTGGTAGTGCCCAATATCCTTCATGAAGTGGGCCATTGACTTTCATAGAATCTCACAAGATATGAGAAGTGGCAAGGATCTCAGAAACCATGTATTTTTTTTTAAAATCTTAAACATGTTTAATTGATGCCTTCTGTCTTCACATCACAGTCATTTCTGGGAGTGTAGTGAGAGGACCCTTTTCCCCTACCTTTTGCCTCCAATTTGAAGCTGTTCTTATTACAAAGAAAATCAATGGAACAAAAGGAGATGGCATCTGACAACTTATCCTACCTTCTGCTCTCTCTCTGCCATGAAAAAGAAAGTATATTCCATTACCTGCTGTCTAGGGACCATCATTGCAAACCCCTATTTTTTCACATGAGAAAACTTAGGTCTGGAGAAGTGATATCACTTTCCCAAGGTTAAAGGTTTCCCAAGGAGTAAGAGTTAGAACTGGGACCCTAGTGTCCTGACTGTCCAGTCCTCTCTCAGTCACTTCCCCCTTCCTATCTGGTCTAGTCTGTGGCTAGCAGAGGGGCTCCAGGGGACTAGTGGGTAATGGGAATGTGATCCTGGAAGTCTCAGAAGAGACTCTCAGACCACCAGCATGAAATGGGGTGATTGTGTCAGTGTGGAGGTGTTACCTAACACCCCCAGCTCCACCACTATCAGGATTAAAAGCTGAGGGCTTCTGCTCAAGGTTTGTATTCTTTTTTATTTTTTATTTTATTTTTTTGTGAGACAATTAGGGTTAAGTGACTTGCCCAGAGTCACACAGCTAGGGAGTGTTATGTGTCTGAGGCCGGATTTGAACTCAGGTCCTCCTGACTTCAGGGCTGGTGCTCTATGCACTGCACCACCTAGCTGCCCCATCAAGGTTTGTATTCTTTAATCCCAGGAGAGACTTCCTGGCCCAAATTGCTTCATTCCTCTTTAAGGTGTCCTGACTAGAAATAAAACTCCAACACGGTAGAAAAGACATAGAAAGAGTGCTGGATCTGGAGAAACCTGGGTTTGAAACCTGTTTATGACACTTACTAGCACGGCTTTGCTGTAGCTAGCTCAAACCTCTTGAGAGCTGATTGTTAAATTTTCAGGATGACCATTTATATCTAAAAAATCAGCAAATGCTATAAATCAAAGCTTGGTTTATTGTTTTATTGATTGTCTAAAACGTAAGAAAGTGACAGAGAAAATGTTAAATAATGCTGATTAAACTTAAAAATATGTCACAAATACACTTTTTTTTGGACAGCCAGTTGTTAAACTTTTACCAGCACATCTCTGCTTACTACCTGTGTGACCACAGGCAAGTCATTAAACTTTTCCGAAATTTAGTTTCTTCCTCTGGACAGTGGGGGAGGAATAATACCTCCAGTGTTTATCGCAGAGGGTTGTTAAGGTCTATGAAACAACCTGCCTACTCTTAAGTGATACATCAATACCAGTTACTATTATAAATAAGAGACTGAAATGCAAAACCTTGTTGCTTCTTAACCAATCCTTAAAGGGTGGAGGTCATGAGCTAGTGCTCCCCTCCCCATTTTGATATAGGTAAAGACAGACTAAAAAAAACAAAACAAAACAAAAAACAGCAACAAAGCAGCTTTGAAGGGTGTGGGGAGGAGAGAGGAGGTAATCCCAGTCCTTTGCTTTGCTGGTAGAGGGGAGGTTGTCTGCTTGGCTTTCTACCAAAGCTGGTTCCCGGATGACAGCAGTCACCCCATGATTCAGCCTGCTCTCTGAAGGATGCTATGCAACCACCCTCCTACCACCTGCCTCCCCTATTCCCTAAGCTCCCCTCTTTCCTTTCCCTCTTCCCAGCATCCTTCTTCACTCCCTCCCTTGTTCCCTAAGCTTCCCTCCCTTCTTCCCCTCTGCCGATCACTCTGCAATCCCCTTCCCTATTCCTGTTTCCTGGGCTTCCTTCTCTCTTTTCTCTCTGCCCACCATCCTTCAGCCCCTCCTTTGTCCCCTGGGCTCCCCTATCTCCTCCTCTTCCTCATCTCACTCTTACTTTAACCCTTGTTCCCTGGGCTCCTCTCATTTCCCATCACCCTAGCATGCTCCCATAGATAGACAGTTTCGGGGTGGGGAGTACTCAGGTTTACACAGTCAAATTCACTGGGCAATGAAAATGCAGACATTTGCAAAAATCACCCATGAATCTCAGGGTTGTATTTGTTAGAGTTCTTTTCCTTTCTTTTGGGGGTGGCTGGGAATTTACTAGGATCATGATAGAGGTCAATGCCACCAAGCCATTCTCCTCTTACCTCCCAAATCCTGGTTAGGGGGAGACCTCCTTCATGGGAGAAGGGGATCTGGGATCAGGGGAATCTGTCTTTATTTCTTTCGAGTGTCAAGAGCAGCCCTTTCTGACTGTCTTCTTCACCTTGTCCCTCCCTAGCTTCACCCATCCTCTTTTATCCTCCCCCTCTCAATCCCTGGCTAACCCAAGCTTGATCCAGCTCAAGCACGGGGAAGTATTCTCAGGGCGATTTCTCTTAAGCCCTGTCCATCTGCTATGACTGGTCTATGCTGCTGGTCTCTAGGAGTCCAAGGGGTCAGAGTCTGCCAGGTGAGTTTATTAAGGTAATAGGGGTCCCTTGGGAGTCCCTTTGGGTACCCCAACTAGCTTTCCTTTTGGGGACATGGAAGGGGCTTCATTTCCCTCATACCTCCACCCTGTGGTTGTGATAGGAGAAGGGGGTGGAGGGTGAAATAACACCTCTTGCCTGTGCCCACTCACACCTGGCATCTAACTGGGAGAGGGGAGTGGGAGGGATGCCTTCTGCAGCCAGAACCACCCTTCACTCTCCGAGCATACACACACACACACACACACACACACACACACACACAGCATCTGTTTGTGTTTCAGATGGCTCCCTGGGTGAGGAGGGGGCCATGACAGATGATGAACCCCACAACCTAAACCTCAAAAATGGAGGAGGGGAAGTCAGCATGGGAAGGGAGAGACACGTGCAGTGAGCTGTCAGAAGACTCTATGCAACTCCATCAAGAAGACCCCACCCCATCTGAAAACCCGGTGCCCCGCAGTGAGCTGGGACCCCTCTACTGGGCCTGTGCCTGTAATGATCCTACCAAACTCCAAGCCACCCTCGATCTGGGAGTCAGCCCTGAAGAGGCCGCCCAGGTGGACAGAAATGGGAGGGTGAGGAAACCAGCTCTCCCTACCTCAATCCTGGCCCAGGAACAAGAGGAGTTGGACAGAAATAATACAGGGGCAATCAATAGGAGGCCAGTCCCATAAACCGCTCCACCCCTACCTCTAGAGGCTGGAGAGGCTAGCTCTCCCAAGGGGACCCAGGAGAATGAAAGGAGGCTGGGGTTAGGGAGGATGGTTTCTCTGCTTTGGCCCCCTAGGAAGCTAATCTAGGGCATGGGGGTGGAACAGAGCCCTAAGAGGAATAAGGCAACAGATTAAGCTGAGGGGACCCCTCTCAGGGACCAGGACAAAGACAGGGGCAGATGTACAGAGTCAGGGGCTACTAAGGGGGTGAGGATACTGCATGTGCTGGTTTGGCTGGGACTAAAGGCATAAGAGGAGGCTAAGGGCATCCTGGGAAGGCATCCAGGGGTGGGAGCTCTGGGAAAGAGTGAGAAGCTCTGCTGAGTTGTGCTCTTTCCTTAGACAGGCCTCATGGTCGCCTGCTACAAGGGCTTTGACAGTATCGTGGTCTTGCTCAGTCACTGCCCCTTCCTTGATGTCAATCATCAGGACAAAGAAGGAAACACAGCCCTCATGCTGGCTGCCCAGGCAGGTGGGAGAGCAAGGGGTGGAGGAGGGAGGGAAGGCAGAAGGGAATGCAGGAGGGAGGGTGAGAATGCAGGAGGGTGTGACTGAAGAGGGATTAGATTTAGAGTCGGGAGATGAGGGTTCAAACCCAGGCTCTGACACTTATTTACTATGTGACCAAGAAAGAGCCCTATAACTTCTCTATCTCTAAATTTCCTCAACTATAAAATGGGACTACTAATACTCGCTCCCTGCCTCATTCAGTTTAATTCTACTAGATAGGGTGCCCCCAAAATCAGTTGGAGCTATCAAAGCTTAAAACTGCATTAAGACTTTTGGGACATCCTGTATTTGATGATAATATAGTAGAACAATAATAACAATAGCTAACATTTATATAATGCTTACTATGTGCTAAACACTTTGCACTTATTATCTCTTGATCCTCACAACAACCTTGGGAGGTAGATACTTTTATTGTCCTTATTTTACACTTGAAGAAACTGAGGCAAACTGAGATTAAATGACTTGCCCAGGTAAGTGTCTAAAGCTGGATTTGAACTCGGGTCTGCCTGACTCCAGGCCACATACTCTATCCACTGAACCACCTAGGTCCCACTTTCTGCAGGAAGCTTTTCCTGATTCCTCTTAATTCTCATACCTTCCTTTTGTTAATTATTTCCTCTTTATCCTGTATAGTTATTTACATGTTGTCTACTTCGTTATATCATGACTATATTATATTATATTATTATATGGTACATGTATTACGTGAGGGCAACAACTGCCTTTTTGCCTTTTTTTTTGGTATCCTCAGGGCTTCGCCTGCCCCATAATAGACACTTAATAAATATTTAATAAATATATTTTATAATAAATATTTATTGACTATTAACTTTATAGGTGATAAGGATTCAGGGACAAAAAAAGAAGGAAATAATTCCTGACTTCAAGGAACTTACTGAGATATACTACATATAACGCTGTGTGTGTGTGTGTGTGTATATATATATATATATATTATATATGTATGTATGTATATAGTCACAGACATGTATATCATGTAGGATGGGTATAAGGGGATCTTTTCCATATGTGGGAGTTGTAGTTGTTTTTTTATTGTCTGTCTGAAAGGCAGCATAACAGATGGACAGAGGGCTGACCTTGTAGTCAGAAAGACCTAGGGTATATTCTTCTTATAACGCCTAATAGATGTGTGACTGACCATAAACAAGTCACTTAACTTTTTAAGCTTCTCTCTAAAACAACATATTCCAGATGAGTTGTAAAACTGCATTACCGGAAGGCATTTTTCCACTGGGCGTTGGCCCCACAGGCCAGATCCCTGTTGCAGCACCCAGTGGTGTGTCTACAATATAACAATATAATCTACAATATAATATCTACAATCTATCTTCCCCCAGGCCTCCAGGCCCTCCCTATCCTCAGTTTTCCCCCTCACTTCTACACTTAGTCATTACCCTGAGTGCTTAGGGAGTCTAAAATACTCTTTGCTGAGACCTCCAAATAACTTCACACCCAAAATATAGAACATTCCCAGCCTGGGATCATCCTCTTCACACACCCGGTCTCCTTGTAACCCAGGCTCACAGCCCGGCCCGTGCCAGCCAAACTCTTTCCTCTTTCTCCCATTCACATTCAGAACACTCTGTAACAGCAATGACTCACTTAATCTAAGGTTTTAGGGCAGGTGTAGATTATCCTTTTCATCTCACAAAATAGGAAAATTTTGCTCTGAGAGGAGAAAATAATTTGCCAAGGTGTCAATGTCGCTGAAATGAGGTCTCCTAGATCATTGATTTAGTGCTCAGAGAGAGCTTAGAGGGAATCTCATCCAATCCTTCATTTGAGAAATCAGGAAGCTGAGGCTCTGAGAAAAGCTCCAGTCCCTTGTCCAGGTTTTGGTGTCAGAGAAGGATCAGCAGAGGAAACTGAGGCTCGGAAGGGTTAGTGGGCCGCAGTCACACAGGTACCAAGTGACAGAGCTGATATTTGAATCCAAGGACTCTGAGGAGGCATTGTGACAGAATGGAAAGAACAATGAAACTCGAATCAAAGCACCTGTGTTTGAACCCCAGGCTGCACTTAATAATTGTGTGACCTTGGGCAGGTAATTTTCCTCCTCAGGGCATCAGTTTCCTCATCTGTGAAATGAAAGAGGGTGTGAACGACATAACCTTAGAGGTCTTTTCTAACTCTAATAATTTTCATGTCCTAGACCCCTCTGGCAATCTAGTGAAGTTTATGAACCTTTGCTCAGAATAATGCTTTTAAATGCGTAAAACAAGATACATGTGATTACAAAGGAACCTAATTATATTGAAATAAAGTTATTAAAGGTTTTTTTTTTTTGCTTTTTTGGTGAGGCAATTGGGGTTAAGTGACTTGCCCAGGGTCACACAGCTAGGAAGTATCAAGTGTCTGAGGCCGCATTTGAACTCAGGTCCTCCTAATTCCAAGGCCAGAGCTCTATCTACTGCGCCACCTAGCTGCCCCTAGAAATACATCTTGACTTTTTTTTTTTTTTTTTTGGTAAGGCAATTGGGGTTAAGTGACTTGCTATTAAAGTATTTTTAAGCCAAAATTCCAAACCCTGGATTACAAACCCTTCCTTTAATCCCATTACTCTTTCCAGTACCTATCCTTCGGACTGTCCCTAGAGGAAAGTTTTCCTTTGCTGGGAAGAGGGGATGGGAGCAGTAATTTGAAGGTTTCATTCTTCATCTTCTATATCTCTTAAGAACAGGAATCCAACCCTCTCCCTTTCCACTCTCCCTTGGTTCTTGGTATGTGGTCCCTGGAGGGTGCATGGGAGGGTTAGGATGCTAGAGAAGGCCCTGCCTGTTGTCTGACTGTGCCCCTCCAGGACATATCACCCTGGTGAACTACCTGCTGAACTACTACCCAGGCCTGGATCTGGATCGGAGAGACAGCCGAGGCCTGACAGCTCTGATGAAGGCTGCCGTGCAAGGCCGCTCAGACTGTGTGGCTGCCCTCCTCATGTCAGGTGGGTGGGGCTCCCTCTGATGGACTCAGCCACCTGTCTGTCCCTTCCAGGTCTGCCAGGCCAGAGGGTGGAGGGAGGTGCTCTGAGTCACCCAACGCCTTGGGAAGGGACAAACCCATTAGGATAGAGGCAGAGAAGCATGTCAACAAGGGGCAGCTCTAGATGCTACCACGGGGGGCTGGGGAGGAAGTGGAGCTCATGAAGCTGAGCTTGGAGATGAGGCTGTAGTCTTCGGAGGGCTTCCTGGTGGAGGGGGTTTTGTCCTCCACATTGACAGAGGGCTAAGATTTTGTGAGTGCCTGATAGAGAAATCGGACGGGCCCAATGGAGCAGCCAGGGTCCCAAAGAGGCTTGGAATCCCTTCTGAGAGGGGAGGAGGCCCCAGGGAGCCTCAGACAGGGCAACAGCAGCCAGGACCCAAAGAAGCATGGACTAGGATGCTGATGGTGAGAAACTGCAAGGCCGGCTTGCTGCTATGGATGTTTCCCCGGTAGGTGCTTCCCTCTTGTGGCCTCTGGCAGAAATATCAGCCCCATGCACACCATCTTCCTCCCTCCAAGGGAGAAAGTCTTGGGCCTGGTTTTGAGGGTAGGACCACAGAATCAGTTTAGAGTTGGCAGCGACTTTAGAGATCTTCTAGTGCAACATTCTTATTTCGAGGTTGTCTCCAAGCCCCCTCCCTAATTTGATCATGTAGGACCTCATGTTACTGACCCAGCGAGAGAGGGAAAAAGATAGGAAGAGAATAGGGCTGAAACCACATTGGGGTGTGAGGGAGCTTCAGCCAGTTGATTCCTATCTACAGGCTGCATTTCTGAGTCCTAAACTGTTCTGGAGAAGAGGTGGATGGCAGGGAGGAAGCCAGCACAAGGGGCAGGGGGCTTGAGGAATTCCCTCCAAGCCCACTCATCTCTGAAACCCTCCCAGTGCCGGCCTCTCAGGAGGGACGGCCTCTAACTACAGGAAGCCCCGCCCAATCTCATCCCTTCCCTGGCTGCGAGGGAAGGGATGGAATGGAGAGGGGTGTTCTCCTACTAAGAGATGGCCAGGGACACGATCATTCCGTCCAGGCCCCAGTCAGTTTTCTCACTTCCTCCCGGACCAGAGTTGGCGTGGGAGTAGAGGGTGGAGAGGGCACTGCTATAACAAGAGATGTTTTAGACTTGTTTCCTCCTATGCAAAGTAAAAGGGTTGGGGTAGATGAGCTCCCATTCCATGATCCTAACACCTCCCACTCCCTTCAGGCTTCTGAGGTCACACTCCACTCTTTTCCACTGTCAGAGAAGCCTTCCTCTCCTTTCCCCAGGTGCTGACCCGACAGCCGTGGACCCGGCTCGGGGCAAGACAGCTTTGGAATGGGCAGCCCTGACTGATAGCTTCGAAACCGTGGTAAGGATCCGTCAGCTGAGTCGGCATCCTCGAGTTGAGCAGCTGAGTAGGCACTATCAGCTCGAGTGGCCAGCCCTGGCTGGGCTTGTGGCCCAGGCCCAGACCAATCTCACGCCGTCCTTCCTCGAGAGACTGCAGAGTGCCTTCAGCCTTCCCTTCCCCCAGCCCCCCCAGGAGGGCGGTGTATTGGATCACCTGGTGAGAGTAACCACCAGTCTAGCCAGCCCCTTCATCATCACTGCTTGCCATACTCTATGCCCGGACCTCCCACCTGAACTGGGCATGCTTCGTCCTTCTGTGCCGGAGCTTCAGGGCACAGCACCTCTACAACCCCAAACCCCGAAGGTCTCCCAGCCTCCCTCCAGCCAACAGGTCCTAGTTCCGTATCAGAGGCCATCAGGGGTGTCGAGCCTGTGTCCAGATTGGCTGCTGGCCAAGAATCATAGCATCTCTAAGACACAGGTCCCCCAAATCCACCTCACCAAGGCTCGATCCCAATCCAGGCAGCAGAAGCAGTGTTCGACACCCACAGGACATCGAGGACTGGTACTCCCTTCCTGGCACTACCAGAAACTCAGGGAGGAAAGGAAGTTGGTAGAAGCAAGAGGCAAGAAGGGTCCATAAGGAAGACTTAAGAAATAGGCAGGGGTTTTAAAGAGTTGCCTATCCATAGCCCATCTTCCCTTCTCTCTATGTTCCTGATGTTCTTTCCCTTTCTCCAACTCTGCCCTTAGGAAAGGTCCTTTATACACCAACTGAAATGTAAATGGCTGTAAAGCCTAAAGTCCTGTTTCTGACTGGGTTTTCACCTTTTGCCAAGGATGAGATGCTAGTGGTAGGATTTCAAGGCCTCCAGGAAGTGTGTGGATGCATGTGTGTGTAGAATGTGGGCCAAGGAAAGTATTAACGTTGGCCCTTTCACGTCAGGGAAAGGGACGCTGGTAATAGTTGCTCTGTGGTGTGCCAACACCCTGGGCACTCTATGCGCACCTAATGATGGCGGTGGGAGGATCGTTAGAGTTTCTCCTTAAGGCTCTGAAATCACACCACTAGGTGGCCACCTAGCCCACCTCTGAATAAGGCCCTCCGAGTAAGAAGCATGGCCCTGGTCCAGATATTGGATCTCTTCTTTTGCCCCAAACTGACCCCAAAGCCGTACCTACCCCCACCCCCCAAACCAAGTGAGCAGAAAATCCTTTTGTCCCTTGCCCTCCCTCTGCCCTCCATCCATACCAAGATGGAGTCCAGACTTGGAGGGGGGACTTGTGTCAAAGTTCACAGGAGTTTGCCCCCTGGGCCCTGGGTAGTGGCAGAGGAGTGTGGCACTCCCCTGCCCCCCTCATAAACTCCCCACCCCGTCCAGCCCCACACACATTGAGGGGCTTTCAGCCCTTCTCTCCATTTGCATCCTATACCTGAAATCAGTTCCCAGAAGTCACCTCCCTCAGTCTCTCTCCTAGTTTTTCTACGATCCCATCCTTCCACCCACTCTCCTTCCTCCAAAAAGCCTTCTTTGATTCATCAGAAGAGTAAAAACAGCGTCCCCCCGCCATTTACCCATAAGAGGACCCCAGTCCATTTCCATTCCTTTTCCAGCTGCCCCTACTCCCCAGTAAGGTTCTTCCTTCTGCCTCAGTGCTCACAATGTCTTTCTGTCCATGGACTTAATGTTACTTTTCTGTCGTCAGTCCCTAACCTTTTCTGGATACTTACTACATATGGTAAGCACTCAGGGGGCAGGAACAATATCCGGAAAGAGCTTAACATGGAGACACAAGGTAGTGATACGATGTAACAATAGAGTGAGGAAGGCTGAAATTTTGTCCTTAAAGCCCAACACTCTTCTTTGTTTCCGTGGTAACAGGGGCTTAGGATGGCCCACTCTTATACTTAGCTTAACTGATACCTGCCCATACCCTGCTCATTCCAGTTTCTAAGATCACCAAGGGGTGTGTTCTGATATTTCCACTTGATTACAAAATCGTAACATCTCTCTTATTAGTTAATCAATTACCCTTGAGCCCAACACCCCAGTTTATTAAGAATTATTTATCTGATAAATTTGGGATACTTCTCCCAAAACTTGAGATCAGTTTTTGCTCATCTCTCTCTGTCTATCATCACCCCTCCTTCCCAACTGCCTAGGCTTAAATAAACATCAAGATTACTGGCTGTCCTACTTACATATGTTGTAATAAACAATAAAATGAAGACAATTATTTTTAATATTCCAACTGTGAGAAAGTCATCTTTAACCATCACTACAACTGCTGACTTTTTCATTCTGGAAACAGTCTTAGTTCAGTTTTCTCTGGATATTGATTAAAATTTCCTTCCCCAAAATTTTTATTTCTTTGCAAGGCAAGAGTTACTCTCAGTTGTCTCAGGAAATAAGTTCTCTGTGCAAAGGGGTAGATGTGGGAGACAGCATCTTGTACAAAGAACAGTAAGCAGGCCAGTGTGGGGAATAAAGTCAGTCAATAAACATTTATTAAGCTCCTACTATGTATCAGGCACTGTGCTGAGCATTGGAGAAGGGGATTGAAAAGGTAAGAAAGAGCCAGGTTGTAAAAGCTTAAAATGTCATACGGTGGAGTTTATATTTGGTTGTGTGGGTAGTAAGAAGCCCTTGGAGTTTATCAAGCAGTGGATGACAAACTCAGACCTGCATTTTAGGAAAATCATTTTGGCAGTTGAGAGAAGGACAAATTGAAGAAAAAAGAGAGGAGAGAGAGAGCGAGAGAGAGACAGAGACAGAGAGAGATAGACAGAGACAGACAGAGAGACAGAGAGAGACAGACAGAGACAGAGAGAGAGAGAGAGAAGAGGAGGGGGTGAGGAGAGAGAGGGGAGAGGAAGGGGGAGTAATTAGAAGGCAATTGCAATAGTCCAGGGGAGAAGTAATGAGAGTCTAAACTAGGGTGGTGGCTATGTGAGGAGAGAGAAGGGGACATTTATGAGAAAAGGTGTTAAAGTTAGAAATGATAAATTTTGGCAATAGGTTGGCTGTATGGGGAAAGGGGAAAGTGTGAGTGTGGGTGTCAAGGATGGCACCAAGGTTGTGGGTCTGAGTGACTGGGAGGATGGTGTTGCCCTTGATAGTAATAGGGAAGTCAAGAAGAGGGGGAGAGTTTGAAGGGAAAAGATGAGACACATTTGGGCACATTGAATATGATATCTTTGTAGGACATCCATTTCAACAAGTCCAAACGGCAGTTGGCAATGTAGGACTGGAGCTCAGGAAAGAAATCCAGGGCTGAATATCTTGATCTGAGAATCATCTGCCTAGAGATGGTAATTGCACCCATGGGAGTTGATGAAATCACGCCCCCTAGATAATATAGATGGCAAAGAGAAGAGAGCCCAAGACAGAGCCTTGGGGGACATCTGTGGTTTGTGGGCATGATCTAAATGAAAATCCAGAAAAAGACACAGAGAAGAATCTGGGTAAGAGAAGAAGCAAGAGAGAGCAGTCTCACTGAAACCTAGAGAGGAGAGTATATTCAAGAGAAAAAGGAGACCAATGGTGCATTGTACTGTGTTATAAAAATGCTTGTTTTGTTCACTGAATTGAAAATTAAAATAAATAATGTATTATATTAATAATATTAATATGCAATAAATAATATTTAATTAAATACAATAAATTTGTGGTGCAAAAAAGAATAATGTGAATGTAAAAAAAAGGATGAGGACTGAGAAAAGGGTGATGAAGATATTCGGTGATGAAGAGAGCACTGGTAACTTTGGAGAGGGAGGTTTGGATTGAATGATAAAGGTGGAAGCTATGGAGAATTAAGAAGAGAGGGAGAGGAAAGGAAGTGGATGCAACTAATAAAAATAACTTTCTTGAGGAATTTAGCCAAGAAGGAGAGCCATAGCATGATAGTTAGTGGGAATGGTCAGATCCAGTGAAAGTTTTTTAAGGATGGAGGAGACACAAATGTATTTATAGATAGCAGGGAAGGAACCGGTAGATAGAGAGAGCCTGGAAATTAGAGGGTGGTAGTAAGAGCCATCTTCTGGAGAAGACTGGAGGGGCGAGGATCAGGGGGACGTGTAGAGGGGTTGTCCTTGGTGAGGAGTAGGGCCATCTCCTCATGTGAGACAGAATGAGGGAGATGGTTGGGGGAGACGTCTGAGTGACATGAGATGAAGAGGAGGAGAGAAGAAGAGTATTGGTGAATTTTTGGAAAGAATGCTGAGTTTGAAATCAGAGGGTCTAGATTCAAAACCTGACTCTAACACTTACTGCTTGTATAATGTTGGGCAAAATTGCTTCTGGGTCTCAGTTTCCTCATCTGTGAAAGAAAGAGAGGGGACTAGATGGCTTCTAACATCTCTTCTAGCACTAAATCTTGGGATGACTCTGGAGAATAGGAATCTTGTGTCCTCTATCCAAATCCTGTCCTATCTCTCCTCCTCCTCCATGCAGCCTTCCAAGACTAGCTCACATTCAGTCCTGTTCCCCGACTTCTTTATTGCCCTGCATTGGCACCTCCGGAAGCTCCTCTCTCTCGCTCACCACTTAGTGGGTTGGACACTGCACCAGGGGTGGGGTTGCCTGACATGGGAAGGGGAGACCCTTACTTCTCTGCCCAGAAAACTCAGAGTAGCCTTTAGTCCTCTTCCCTTCCCCCGAAAACCTCAGCCTTTTCCTGATTTGCTCCCATCTTTCAGCACCATCTTATTAGACTCCTCCTGTTCCTACAGTTGGGAACTTGCAGACTCCCCTGGGTCACCCTTAGAGGGGGGAGGGATAGCAGGTAGTGATTCACCCATAGCTATGCTGGGGATTGCCAGGCCCAACCCTTTCTCCTTGGGGGCCGTGTTCCCAGAAATAATTGGAGGAAAGCAGCTCCAGTCTATCCTGCCTGCTGGGTTTGGAGATATAATAATAGTCTGCATTTACATAGTATTTTATTATGATTTATATACCATTCTGCAGTTTACAAAGCACTTTGCATTTATCATCGTATTTAACTCCCAGACAACCTTGTGAGGGTAGGTAGGGTAGGAATTGTTCCTATTTTATGGAGAGGGAAACTGAGGCTCAGAGCAATGACAATATGACATGGTGGAAATGATTTGGTTTTCCAATCTCTAAGCATCAGTTCTTTCATCTGTAAAAAGAAGAAGTTGTAAAGATAACCTCTAAGGTCTCCAACTCTAAAAATCCGTTGAGGTTAAATGACCTGTCCAGGGTCACAGCAGCTAGACATTAATTAAGTGGAGACAATCAAGGAGTGTAAATAGACATCTATACAAACAAGAAGGAGGAGGTATGGGGAAGTGGCTGACATTGGAATCTTGCTCTCATCTGAACTGGTCAAAAGAAGGAGAAATAAACACAGGTATAGAAACATATTTCATTTAACAGGGAAATAGGAGGGAACAGGGAGAAGGAGGAAATGGGGGGAGTAAGATTAAGGAAGGGGTTAGTCCTAAGCAGAACAAAAATACTTATTGCTCCTTTTGAGGTGGCAAAGAATAGGAACCTGAGGGAATGCCCATACATTGGAGAATGGAGGAACAAGTTATGGTATACAAATGTGATAGAATACAATATGCTATAAGAAATGATGGAGAGAGTT